GGCTGGGCACCCACGGACCAGGAGACACCGCAGTGCTGAGACTGCTGTGTCCGTGCAGCAGCCAGGCTCCCCCTGCACCCACAGCCAGCCCAGGACCCAGTGCAGGAGCCTCTGCTCGGTGATGGGAGGAGCGGCTGTGGGTGCTGGAGGCTGTCAGGAAATCCATGAGGCCTGCTGCAGCTGATTGCTGCACAACAGAGCCCCCAGGCTCTGCTTTACAGGGTGAGAGCTTGGGCTCTACTGGAGGGACCTGGTGCAGGTCTCCATCGCTCCTCTCCCCCGGCACAGCCATGGAACATGTTTAGTTGGCTGCAGTTTAAACTGCAGAAAGCAGCTGGAGGTGTTTGTTGAAGCCCTCGTGCTGCTGCTGCCACAAGGAACTGCACAGCGGCACCAGGCGAAGGATGAGGGGTCATTAATGGAATTAAAATGGTTTGCCTTGGAGGAGAATAGTTTGTTTGGCAACTGCCCTGAGAGCACGGAGAGCCTCGGTCCCTTGGTGCCTGGTTATTGGCATCCCAGCTGCACGTTTCCCAGCATGAGCTGCTGCCAGCGGCAGAGAGGAGCAGTCGCAGGGTGAGGTGTTTGTGGTCATGCTTCATCCCATTCCCCATGGCTGTACCAACCCTCCATCGCTCACAGGAGCTGCTGGCCCCTTTTGCCACCAGCGTGCAGCCAGCTCTGCAGAGTGCTGTTCAGTCAGTCATAGAGGACTAAGCTGGAAGCGATCTCAAGAATCATCTGCTCCAACCTTTCTTGGCAAAAGCACGGTCTAGACGAGATGGCCCTGCACCCTGTCCAGCTGAACCTTGAAAGTGGCCAACCTTGGGGAATCCAGCGCTTCCCTAGGGAGTAATCTCTTCAGTTTCGTCAAGTTCCCTTTGACAAGCAGATTGGAAGTTGCAGCTTCCTGCTCGATGGAGATCTGTGGTAGTGCTAAGGAGCTGATGAACTGCGCTGAGTTCAGCTGGCTCCTCTCTTTGCTTCTCAACTCCCTATGGCTTGCTCTCCTCACTCATGTACCTCCCAGTGCTCCCAGTCCCCAGCGGGTGGCTGCAGGCTCTCCTGCCAACCCCACACTTTGGACATCGGGCAGCTTTTTGCAGGTGGTTGCGATCAAGAAAGGTACCTCCCCCGTGAAAACCATCGCCTGCCCATGGCAGGGGCTGGAGCTGGGTGAGCTTTAAGGTCCCTTCCAATCTAAACCAGTCTGGGATTCTGTAGTTCCATGACAGCGCTCGTGTGACTGTCATCTCGCAAGGAGCTGGCTGCCTTCAGCCTGTCCCATCTGCTGCTCCTAGGGAAAGGCTGTAGGTGCAGCAGCCCCTCAGCTCCGGTCCTTCACACTTACCTTCCTCTTCCCGCAGGACATCATGTGAGAGGAAGGAAGCAACAACAGGGGCTGAAATGCCAGCAACACCAGATAGAGCCTAGCTCCGTGCTGCCTTCGTGCCATGCAAATAGCATCATCGCTGGGGATTTCTTGACACTTTGCTGAAATTAGCACCTGCAAAAAGAGCAGCTGCCAAAGCTGCATTTAAATCAGACGGGCAGGCTTCTGGTAGGAAGAGGGGAGGAAATGAGAGAGCTCTTGGTTTCCTTGAATTGCTTCCCTCCATGAAGGCACCTGCCTGGAAATCAGCTCCCGACTCCTTTTGCCCTGTTCAATGCCCACATCACTGGGGTGAGATGCCTGCAGCAGCACTGTTCACTGTGCCTGCCCTGCCGGTGCAAGTGCCAAAACTGTCTGGACTCTGGCACCGCCACTCCCAGTAGCCAAAGCACCAGTACCCACTGAAGGAAACTGGGGAAGTGCAGGGTCCAGATGGCCCTGGCCTCCTCTTGAGCTCAGTAACATGTCCGAGTCCCACACAGCATTAGGGAGCGTTGTAAGCAGGCGGCAGCAAACAGGGATTTTACTTCTTCCTTTTAGTTTGGGCATGTACAGTTCACTACAGAGCAGTAGCCAAGGTGGGCTCTTAGTCTCATGCAGGAGATGCTGGCCACCTGCATGTTTCTACAGGGCTTATTGCTCTGCTTTGGTGCAGCAGTGGGAATCCAACGACTCTGGTGGCAGCTACAATGGGCCATGGGGGTTTGCAGGAGGGGAGCTGCAAGTGGAGAGGGAAGGGCTCTGTTAGAGCTGCAGCTGCTGAGGCTCAAGGCCCCTTCATGGGCTGGTGGTGATGAGCACTGGCAGGGAACTGGGTGAAGCAGCAGCAGGTTTGAGGTGATGGAGCCATCCGAGGCTGGGAGCTGGCAGGCAGGGTGGGGTGGAGGCAGCGGTGTGATGCTGGTGCTCCAGGGCTGGCACCGAGGATGGTTCCCGTGTGGGGATGCCCGTTGCATGTGCAGCCACCCCATCGGCAGGGATGGTGGAGATGAGCAGAGAGAGGACCACAGACCTTCCTTGTGGAGGACGCTCTCCAGTCTCCCATGGCAGGGGAGGGGGATCAGATGCTTCTCTTAATTGTTCACTCAGCTCCTTATTAAAGCATTTTCCCTTAACAGGTCTTGTCCTTTGCTTTTGCACTTCCCCACTAAGTGAATGACTGTGTCCCTGTGGCCCCCCTCCAGGCTGAGTGGAAGGAGGAGATGTGTCTGGAGCAGGGCAGGTGCCAGCACTTGGGGTTATCAGCTCCGTGTGTGCCCCTTCCCGAGCTCTCTCCCACCTGAGTCAGCCTCTTCCAGGCACAGGTCTCCTCCCATCCCAGGGTGGGGATTGCGATGGGCAGGAGGTTTGCAGCCGGGCTGGAGCAGCAGTTTGTTGTGCTTGTGTTCCTGGTTCTGGGCACACCTCACTGATGAAGCAGCTCTGAGGTGTCACAAGGTGAGAGGCAGGGGGCAGCCATGGTGGACTTTTACTCTCATGCAGGAGACACCGCCCCCCTGCATGTTCCTACAGGGCTCTGCTTTGGTGCAGCAATCCCCTCCTCAGATGTGGAGATGATCCTCATTTCTTAAAGCCTGAAGTGTAAAGCTCTCTGTTAATGCCAGCACTGCATGTTTTCCTGCCATGCACACAAACACGGTTTTTCATTGATTAAAATAACTCTGAAGAAGCTCTCTTTGCATGCAGGCATCCAATCCTCCCCTGCCTTAGTGAGCTCCTGCTGTGTGCTTAGTGAGCATCCTGTGGCACTGAGCTCTTTAGGGAAGAAGCACTTCTTACACACAGCTTTTGGCTTCATCTTGCTGCATCTCTGGGCCTTTGGGTCACTGCCACAGTGTACCCAGGTCCCATAAATGACTGTTTATCAGCAGGAGGCCCTGGGAGCACAGGATGAGGCTCACCAATGGAGCTATTCCTGAGGGATCAGCTGCAGTGCTGTGCTGGCTGCTGGAGGCCAGCATGGTGGGGACAGGGTTCTCTAGGCTTGCTCATCAGGGCACATTGTGACTGGCCCATCTTGCAGCTGGGGGAATCTCAGTGTGATGCAGCTGAGCTGCTCCATGGCATAGAGCAAGGAGCATGGTGGAGGTACCCTGAGCAGCCCAGAGGCTGTGCTGCAGGGGATGGGCTCAGCACCGTGCAGTGGAGACCATGGGGCCTGGGGACAAGGGATGACAGGGTGTCTTCTGCTCCCTCCCGTCTGTCCAAAGCTCACCATTTCACTTGGCTGGTTGGGACCAAACACAGCAGGAGCAGCTCTGTCTGTGCTTGGGCAAGTGCAGCAGGGATTTGCCATTGCAGTCTGGGGAGCTAAAGAAACAAGTAACAGGCTGGTGCATCTGTCTTCCCTCTCCTTGTGTGCAGGGTGTGCTTGTGTGCAGGGCCATGCTGGACCAGCTGCATGGGGCCAGCAGGAGCCTGCAGCTCCTACAGCCTGAGCTGAGCTGTTGGACCAGCATATCCTGCAGCTCACCTTGCAGCCCCCTCCTGTTTCTGCCTTGTTCCTTCATTGTAACCTGCAGGACCCCATTGTGCATCTTCCGTTGCTCTTCTACATAGTTGTGTACCATTCCTTTAACTAATTCTCCATCTACCCTAATGTTTATTACAACCAATAAGCATTAGGAGGCTGGATCCAGGTTCTAACTGGTCAGACATGGGGTTTTGTAATGTTCTTTTCTTTCTGCCCTTCAATTTGTGTGACTCTTTTCTGAACTTCTTCCAGTCCAGCACTAACATGAGAGAAGTGAGGGGCTGCCTGAGCAGAGCTGGGAGATGGCAGCAGGGGGAAGGCCCAGCAAAGGGTTTCTACACCCCCAGCACATCTGTGGCTCACTGGGCAATTGCAGCATTCCCAGGGTGCTGTGCACATGGCAGCATCTCATAGAACTACAGAACCCCAGCCTGGTTTGGGATGGAAAGGACCTTAAAGCTTCTACAGTTCCAGCCCCTGCCACGGGCAGGGACCCCTTCCACTGGAGCAGCTTGCTCCAAGCCCCTGTGTCCAACCTAGCCTTGACCACTGCCAGGGATGGGGCAGCCACAGCTTCTCTGGGCACCCTGTGCCAGCGCCTCAGCACCCTCACAGGGAAGAGCTTCTGCCTAAGAGCTCAGCTCAGTCTCCCCTCGGGCAGGTTCAAGCCATTCCCCTTGCCCTGTCCCTACAGGCCCTTGTCCCAAGCCCCTCTCCAGGTTTCCTGCAGCCCCTTTAGGCACTGGGAGGTGCTCTGAGGTCTTCAGAACCATCTCCAGGGAAACCTTATTTCCAGCAAAGCAGAGTGAGAGCTGACGTGGGAGTGCCACAGAGATGCTGCCGCTGGGCTAGCTGCCATGCTCCAGTGTGGACCATAGCAAAGAGAACCCCTCTTGGTGCCACCCCCGAAGCCGGCAGAGCTGCCCATCACCGCGGGGCCTGGAGCCGCCTGGTGCGGGTGGGGACGGGGCGTGAGCTGCCGAGTCCCGTTCCCTCCGCGTGCTGCGGGCACCCCCGGAACCCGCTCCAGGGAGCGGCCCGGCCGGGGCGGTGAAAGGACCGGAGCTCCCCACCGGGCGGGGCGGGCGCGGAGGCTCCGCGGGAGCGGATTGGGCACCGGGAAGAGCAGGGGGGGCCGGGCGGGGGATGCTCCGCGCCGCCGCAGGTGCCGCGCTCCCGAACCGCGCCGGGCCGGGCCGGGCCGGGCTGAGCTGCCCCGGGAAGCGGAGCGATGCCGGCGGCGAGCACCGCGCTGTAACCCGCACCCCGCCTTCCTCCTCCACCTCCCGCCCGCGAGTCCGGGGGCGCCGAGGGGGCGAGGAGGCGGCGGCAGGCGCGGCGCGGGGCGGGGGCCGCCGCCGCCCTCCGAGCATCCATCCATCCATCCCTCCATCCATCCCTCCCTCCATCCCTCCCTCCGCGCCGCCTCCCTCCCTCCCTGCCGGCTCTATGGTGTGAGGGCAGCGATGCACAAGCACCACCACTGCTGCAAGTGCCCCGAGTGCTACGAGGTGACGCGGATGGCGGCCCTGCGGCGCATGGAGCCCCCCTCCTACGGCGAGTGGCAGCACGAGCAGTACGGGTACGGCGGGTACGGTTCGCAGACCCTGCCCGCGCCCGGGGGCAACGCGCCCGCCGCCCGCGGCAAGGCCAAGCTGGGAGGGGGCCCCCCCCGGGACCCCGCCGCGCTGAAGCCGCCGCCGCCACCGCCGGGGAAGAGCGCGCCCAAGGTGAACGGGAGCGGCCCGGGCTGGTGGCCCGAGTGCACGTGTTCGACCCGCGACTGGTACGAGCAGGTACGGGCCAGCCCCGGGCAGCGGCTCCCCGGTGCGGGGCGGGTGCGGGACGGCGCGGGCGGGGACCCGGGGTACCCCGGGGCGCGTGGCGGGGCCGTGGCAGCGTCACCCCGGCGGCTCCGCGGGCGGATGCTGACGGTGCCGGCGCGTTCTTGCCGTTGCCGTCGTTGTCGCTCGGGCTCGGCCGCCGGCATCGCCCAGGGTGGCAGCGCCCTCGCTCCGGGGCCGGCTCTCACGGGAGCTCCGCACCGGGGGCGAGCGAGGTCTCGCCTGGCACAAGGTGGGCGTCGGGCGCGGTGGTGCTGGACTCCCCACCCGGGTGCTGGCCGCTCCCGGTGCCGTTGCCCGAAGCCCCGGCGGTGCGGACGCGTCCCGCCGTGCGCGTTCAGCGCGGGGTGCGCTCCCGCTGGGCAGCCCCGCGGGCTGCCTCCCGACCCGGCACCCGCTCCCTATGGATCCGGTGCTGCCTCCCTGCTCCCCACATCATTATGTAACGCGGCTCTGGTCGCTGGCAAGCTGTGTGCGTTCTGCCCCGATTCACTGCCTCCATTTCTTCCCACACACAGTCATTTTATTGGTGTTGTCCTCCAGGACCCATTCTGAGGCTGTGTCTCTCTTTCTCCCCTAAATGGAGAGACCAGTCTTGATCTGAACCCCCAGCTTAGAAAATGGTTGGATCTGTTTGCAAAGCGTTAAAATGGAGGCTAGACCCTGCCTGAAAAACAATTTACCCTGCTTTAGAGAAAGGCATCTCAATTTGCTGCTTCTGCCTCTTTCATTCATTATCTTCAAACCTCACATGATTTCTTATTGATCCTTCTAATTATTATTTCAAGATGCTGTAGCAGGCAGACACACGGGAATCAATGGGAATTCTCTCCTCCTCTCCCCTCAGAAAACACAACCCTCTCCTTCCCTTCCCCTGGTTTTTTCTTCATTACATTCTCAGTCTGTAGCTCTGGTTGAAATAATTAGATTCAAAGCTGATACGCTCAGATGATGTTTACAGAAAGCCACCCAAAACCCACCTTCTTATCAGCCTGGTCCTGCTTTCTGTCTCTTTCTCTGCCACTCTTTGCATCAAAATCAGCCTCAGCTCTCTCTCGTTGGCTGATTCCTGGCAAGCTTTCTTCCATCTTTCCTTTGCTATCTATTCCTTCCCTCTACCCAGCAGCAAGCTCAGGGAGCTGGGGAGGAGCAGGGAATTGAAGCATGTCTGCTCCCTCCTTTCCACTCCTGCTTGCATGGCAGGCCCGGCCCAGGGCTCCTGTTGCAAGGGAAGGAAGCGCTGCCAGCTGCAGTGCTGCTGTGGCAGGCTGGGCAGGGAGCTCTTCATGGGTTTGCAGTGGTGCAAGAGAAATCATTGTCTCTTTGTGGTGCTGCCACGGGGCTTGGGCTGCTCTGAGGGTGCATGTTGGGAATCTCTACTTGGCCTCAGCCCTTCTGAAGATGAAAATAGCAATAATAATAATAACAATAATAATATCAGAAGCTCCTCACGCATTGCAAGTGACAGAGGATGCCAGTGTGTGAGGCTACACGGCAGGAGCTGCATGTAGAGTGTGACGTGTGTGCTATGTGTGCTGCCTGTATCGGAGCAGGCAGCCTTGCTCCCTGGTGTGTAGCAAATGTATGCAATGAGTAAAGCTTTGCAGCAAATACCTCAGCAACGCTCCCCTTCTGATCCAAGGGTGCCAAGTGCCTGAGCCGTCAGGAATCCATGTTCTTCCCAGTCCTGTGGTGGGCAGAGGGACAAGAGGTGGTAAAATGGCAATGGCTGGGCATAGTGTGTTCCCAGGCAGACAGGTTTGGCTCTGGGAGGCTGGGAGCTGCTGGCTCCCGGGGAGGTTTGGCCGGACGCTGTGCATGCAAAGCTGGTTTGAGGAGGCAGCTCCAGCTTTCGTGTCCTTGGGAGCCTTGGCTAGCGGCAGGGCGGCCGTTTTTCAGGGCTGCCCCTTTAACTGAGCTCCCTGTCCCTGGAAGCGCTCCCAGCAGCAGTGGTGGGAAGAGGTGGTGGGGCCAGAAGCCTCCCCAGGACAGCAGCGATGGGCTCGCTCCTGGGCAGCTCCACCACCTCTCATTTAAGCCTTTCTTCTCGCCTTGCTGCTCCACGTAAGCAGGGGAGCGTGCGCAGGCTGCGTGCGCGGGGCTGGCCGCCTGCGTGCACACTGACATGGGAAGCGTGCTCACGGTTGCATATGGTGGTGGTGGATGTTCTCTGACATCATGTGTGCTCACAGAGCCCGTGTGCAGCAGGTGGGACGTGCCCACATGTGCTGCCCAACACATGGCACAGTCCCTGCATCCACCTGCTTTCTGCCAGCGCCAGTGCCCTCTCCTCCTGCCTCACCCCTGCTCCAGGACACAGATGAGCTTGCTCAGGCAATGCCAGTAACTGAACACCTAATCCTGACTGCAGGGAAGGAGGAAATCTCTGAGCTCTGGGTTTCTCATTTCTCTTTGCTTTGCCTTTCCTCTCCCTCCTGAGATCTCTTTAATTACTTCTCCCTTATCTATCCGCGTTCCCTGTTCATTAGTCCCTGCTCCCTGCCCTTGCTATCGTTGCTGTGCTCCATTGTTCCCGTGGCCATCCCTCTGGCTGGCCCTGCACCCTCCTTGTCCCCCATTGCTCGCTGATGCCAGAGAGGGGTTAGAGGAGAACTCCAGGCTTTAGGGGAGCAATGGCAGTGTCACCCAGGGAAGCAGCCCTGATGTGCAGCACTAGAGGACCAGAGCACTTGGAGCACTGAGGGACCGGCAGCAGCCAACACATTTCCTTCCCACATCCTCCACAGAGGAGATCCACCCCTATGGTTTAGTCCACCCTGAGGTCCCTGGTGCTGGGCACAGTGGCTGGCGCCAAGGGTTTCACCAGCATCTTTATGTCCGTGGGTAGCTGAGGCACAGGTGCTTCCTCTGATGGCTGTGGAAGGGAACAAAGGCAGGGCAGGTCCCAAGCATGTGTTTGGGAAGTGCCCCAGGTCCGCTGGCCCTGCTTGGCCAGTAAATGCAGTGTCCTGCTGACCCCACTTCCCACAGCTCCCTTCTCCCTCTTGGAGGGATCAAGAGGATGCAGAGTGGGGTTAGAGCAGCATCAAACTGAGCCCCTGGCCAGCTACAGGTGCCCAGAGCATGGAGGCTTGTGTGGCTGCCCCGGAAGAGGTCATGGCCAGGCAGGTGGAGGAGGGGGACAAGTCCTTCCTGCCCATTTCCAGCAATGAGTGTTCCACCAAAGGCAGTTTCCTTCCACGCACACACATTGCTTGGTGGAGTTCCTCCTGTGCCCTGGGAATTACCGGGAGGAGGTGGGCACAGGGCAGCTCACCCTGTTGGAGTGTGGAGTCTCCACGTGCTGCTGGACCTGGGGCTCCTGGCTCTTGCTGCAACGGATGGCGAGGGGAGGCCGGAGCCTTGTGGAGGCCGCCGGGCTGGGTGTTGGTGTGAGGAGCAGGCACTGCTGGAGGAGAGGAGGGAGGGCGCCGAGGGCAGGCGGACACGGCTGCTCCGTGGGAAATGGCTGAAGGCCAGATGTTCCCTGGGGAGGTGCGAGGGAGGGTGAGAGGAACAGGGTGCCGGGACACGGAGGCAGTGGAGGTGGTGAGGTTGGCAGGGTGATGTTGCTATGGCTACTCCTGTGCTATTCATAGAAGAAATTAGCTAAATCTTTGCACTGGAAGGTGGAGGAGGAGGGAGGAGGAAGGCGTTCTCCACGTTCGGAGGGAAGGAGAGAAGCCAAAACAGGAAGGAGGTGAAGTTTTCCTCCTTTGCTCTGTGCCTGCACGTGGAGGGGTATCGGGGGAAGCGCCGCTGCCTGCCCTGCCCTGCCCAGCATCCAGCATCCAGCATCCAGCATCCAGCTCTGGCTCCCTGCAGAGCGCCCACACCGCGCCCCGCGCAGCAGGACAAGCTCTGCATCACGCCAGGAGCACAGGAGACATCCTGTTAATTAAAGGCAGGCAATCTGTGGAAGGTATTTTTGGCAACCTAAATGTAGATACAACTGTAGTGAAACTTGCCCCTTGCGGCTGGCTGTGCCGCTGAGCACGGCGCTCCTCTGCTCCTCACCCCGGCCACCAGCTCGGTCCCTGCTCTCCCTCCACCTCCAGCATCTCTTCCAGCGTGTCCTCCCACCAGCTGGAGTTCCGAAAGGGTCTTCCCTCTCCACCACCCCTCCTTGCGCTCCACTCCCTCGTTGTGAGTTTGATTCCCATCCCACAGACCTGTTTGTCACCTCCTCACTCACGATGTGTAAATCTGCGTGTCTGTTCCTAATATATCTCCCTCCATCTGATTTCACCTCTCAGCTTGTTTCTTGGGCATCTCCGTCTGGTGATCCTGCCGTCATCACCCAGTTGAGTTGCTATAACCAGGTTCTCAGCTGCTGCCCTGCACCCAACCCCAGCCTCGCACCCACTCCTGGCCCCACAGTTCTGGGGGCAGATGAGACCTCTGATGGCCTCGACCTTCCCTTCCTGCCATGCAGCTGGAGCCAAAGCCCAGTTCATGCTTTATAAGGTCATTCCCCCTCCATGTGCATTCCCTTGGGGAAACTTGTGCCTTAACATCCAGATCCTGGCTGGGCTGGTTCCCTTCGCCCACCCCAAAGCATCCCATGTCCTGCTGTCACCCATCCCCTGGGCCGGGCTGAGGAGGCTCAGATGTTCTCAAGTGCTCCTTCCCAAAACACACTGACTTCATTTAGGAGTGAACAGTGGTGGCAGGGGGTTTGGAACTGGATGATTTTAAGGTTCTTTCCAACCCAAACCATTCTTTGATTTGTTTCCTTGGTTTCTTTATTCACCCGTAAGACTTTTCCCCCTTCCCTTGTGGACGTGAATGCCTCATACAAGGAGCTGTGTGCTTGTGCTTGCTGACCCTTCTGATGCATCCCATTAATATGGTAAGGGATAACATTGGAATTAAGAAAGGGGAGTTGAAGGACTTGATCTTAGCCCCGCTGTTGCGGGATTAGCAGCCGTTTCAGGAGGGATGTAGCCAAA